AAAAAAAGCTACCCAAGGAAGAAACAGCAAAAGGACAGAGGGCTGGGGACAGGAGAGAAGCTGTCTCTTCTCTGATGCTGTGTCCCAGAACTACCATAGACCCTGGCACATGTTGGTTGCTCAAATCTGTTTCATTTGCTAAGTGCTTACTAAGTGCCAGACCGTATTTTAGGTCTCTGAAATACAGAAACATAAAACAATTTCTTCTCTTGAAAAGTTTATATCGTTGGAACAGTTCAGAAATTTGCAGGGAGCTGAGCTTTGGGGAAGAGAAAAGCTGCTGGCAGGAGGTAACCAGGAACAGAGGATAGAGTAAAAGCATGATGCTGGACTACAAAAAACACTGTGGCTGAGGAGGAGGAGGAAGGAGAAAGGGGACACTCATCCCCATCCCCAAGCTGGAAGAAAGCCCGGTGGATTAAAGAAAACCTCCTTACTAATTTGGAAGGCTAACATGTGAAGAAACAACTAATGCTGTTAGACTCTTGAGAATGGCCTTGTAGAAGGTATTTTATGCTGCAGCTAATTTGAGAGGTGGAAAGAAATCAGTTGGCTCACAGCAGTGCAATTTATTATCAGGATCATTAAGAGACAATTCCACTATGTGCTGTTAACTCTGATTACCCTAAATTACCCAGTCATTTCTATTATCAATATAAGACTTTGAGAAGTGCATAAATGCATAAGATGGTGAGTATGAGGAAAACAGAGTGAGTTTATTAGGCATTTTATTAACTTTTTTTTTTTTGGTGGCATTGGCACTGGTTGAAAAATGACAGATATTTCAGTGAATGATGGAGTTATAAACAGTGGTAATTTTAATACTATAGCAAACACTGATTTGGGGAAGGAAAGAAATTATTAAAGACTACTTAGGAGAGAGAAAAACCTGAAAAAATGCTCTCCTTAGGCTTAAAGAAAAGAGCTCACCGATAGTACGGGGGAGCTGCATATCATGGCCATTTTGTTTATGATGAAAATGTTTTGATGATTCTAATTTTACTCTCCTGCTAGAGATAGAACCCTTTATATAATACAATGAAATGTGTTCAAAGTGGAAGATGTTATATTATAGGTACCTCAAATAAGAGCGAGCATTGGGAGGAGCACGAAAGAGCTATCCCTTTAGGAATTCTGTTTTCATCAAATAAGAAATGAATGCATCATAGATGACCAAAAAAGCAGTCAAAGTATCCCAGCCAGGATTTTTCTAAGCCTTAAACTATAATTCTTCTGCTAGGCTAATGTACTTGAAACATGTCTGGGATCTGAAGTCAAGCCATCAACTTTTCTAGTAATTATTTGTGCAATCTTGGATACTTTTGCCTAAATTTTCTAGACCATCAGGTACCAATGTTATGAAACCAGAATGAGAAAACTCCATAGTGGGTGCTGTCATAAGAATAAGAAAATTATCAATATGATTGATAGTAAACTGTTTAACCCAAGGAAATGAGTGATGTTGATAGTAAGCAGAAAGCAATTATTGCTGATAGGTCTAATGTTATTTGTTTTTTGTACAGATATATGCTAGATTCAGTCAGATAACGTAGATTGCGGTCCCAGATCAACAACTGAAGACTTTATACTTCCTACATATGCAGTTCTTCCTATAAATGGCAATGCTATGATAACAGTAACCTTCACTTTTGCCTAACAGGCAAGAGTATGGGGTGCTCCAAAGGCATTGTATGCAAAAACCATAAACTGCTAAATGCGTTAAGGTACTTGTCCATGGAGTACATACGTAAGTGAAAACCTCAAGTATAAGGCCATTTGTCTCTACTGAATGCACCATGACTATACCATTGCTTACTCTAGCAACACAAGAATAAAGAATATAAATGAATTATTTTAAACTGAAAATATACTAAATATGTATTTTCAAATTGCTTATTGTAATTCTGACTCTTGAAAGTTAACATGAACATCCACTTTGAAGGTAAATCTCACAATCATTTAGTGGAATATAGTATACTCAACTTTAAATAAAATGTGACCTTTTAATTAAAAAATGACCATAAGTAGACTCTTTCTGCTACTGAGGTAAGCAGTAGAGCCATAAATTTGCTAATAATAACCTCATTACAAATATTAATATGACAGCAAGTATACATTTTAAAAATAATCAGACAAAACTGGGATGAAAATAAAAGACTATAAGAAAAGTTCTAACTGATAATAGAATAAAGATAAAAGAGCTAATGCTGTATTTTTTCCACTTGAATTGTAAGAAGTCTGGAGACTCTAGATGACAAGGTTTGATTGTATAAGAAATGGCAGAAGGGCTGTGAAGAGCTCAGGGAGAGGAGAGAAGAGATGAAGAGATAGAAGTTAACTGTTCCCCTCTATCTGCATTTGATCTTGTGATTGATTCCAAGAGCAAAAATTTGGGTTAGAGTAATGATAGCCTCAGGAAAGTATTACCAGGAAACAGCGAAGGGAGCTGAAATGTATTTTTATCTGTACAACGAGCCAGCATATCATCTCCTGTTGATTTCTTGGCTCTTCTTACTCCTCACTCTGGCATTCACATTCACAACCCCGATCGGGATGTCACAGAGAGGGCATGACTGTGACAGCTATCCTGTACATCTAAATATTACTAGGATGATTGCTTGAAGTACAGGGACAACTTTGGACTTGAAATTTGACAGCAAAAGAAGGATCCTGGATGTGCACCTTGTAACCCCACCTCTTTCGTCTACTTACAAAGTTCTGTATGAACTATGGTTTGAAATATGATTTGACAAAATAGGGTTGTGACTTTCTTGCACTATCTGTAGTAATTATGCTACCTGACACACTTTGCTGTGGAGACCCTTCAAAATTGGTAAAGCACATAATAATATTTTACAAAAGGGAGATCTCTATGAGAGGCTTGAGATGGGGAGACAAGATACATGTGTTTGCTGGGAAAATGGCTTAGTTAACATCTGAGGCAATATAATAATTCTTAAAAGCAGTTCAAAGATCTGTTTAGCCTCTTTGGCTTTTGACATTGAAGATGAATATCTAAAATCTTTACAAGAGACTAGATTTTTATTTTGAAAAATACAACAGAATGTAGTGAAAAGAATGAAAGCAAATGGATGTACTGGTCTCTATGATTTTTGGAATAAATCCTCTTTTGGGGGAAATAGTTAAAAGAAAAAAGAAAGAAAAATAAATCCTCTTCAACCAAGAACTGGAAAGGACACACATGCTCTCAACGACTTGAAGTTGTAAACACTGTGGGTGTGAACAAGCAGTAAAGAACAACTAGACCCTGTGAAGTTTCAACAAGAGGAGTGGGTGTTCAGCAAGTAATAAAAATGTAGGATACAGCTACAAAAATAGAGAGGCATGCACATGCATACGAAAGAGTCATGCGACCGAAGGAAGGCTAAGTTGCAATCGTGTGCAGAGCTATCAAAATCAAACTATTTAACAAATGTTCTAAAATATTTGCACCAAAAAAGAAAAGAAAAACCAAAATCCAGAGTCTATCATGCAGCATCCATGTGAAAGTGTTCCCTACAGGTCAAATTCCCACAATGAACAGGTATTTCCTGGGGCCTGGGGTGTGAATGGACAGCAAGTTGTTCCAAGGGAACTCCACCCCATATGATGAGTGGACAGAGAAAGAATCTGGGGTTTGACCAGGAACAGCTTCTTACAGTAACCATAGACAGGATATGGGGACTTCAAGGCCTGGATACAAGTGCTACCTGAGGTGGGCTTTGGAAAATACCCAGTTCTCACTTTTCTGTCTTAGCTTTTCTTGGTTTAGTCCTCGTCTGGTTTCCAATTATTTACCTAAGGTTCTATTTTCTTGTGTTTATAATTCCTAGCATGTAGTATGAGTATTTTGAAGAAAAGATGTTATTTAGATTACTTGCTTGTTTAGGTAAAAAAAAATACATCAAATGAGGTTGTATTTGCAGCATCTCAGAAAATAATTATATAAAGAAAAACTGATACTTAAAATTGTTAAGTTTATATTTAGGATCAAAAAGATAATTGTACTGCGACTGAGTTAAAATGGGGACTTACTGAGAATATGAACTCCTTTCCTCTCCTAACTATGTGTGGATTAAAGATGACAAAGACAAGCAACAGATAGGAGAGGAAATCCTGAGGTGACTCAGCAGCTATAAATACTCAGCTATGTGCCAAAAGACAACACTGTGAAATGAGTGCAAAGAATAAAGATGTTTGCAAGATAAAAGGGAATGTTTTAGAATTATACAGATGAAGTGTACTCTCTATTGCTTACATAATAGTTGTACACCCCAAAAAGAAACATTCAAGTATGTGAGGATGAAGTGATGAAAAATATCTTTTAAATGAAGGTCAAGACTTAGGTGAACACTATGAAATAGAGAATTATAATAATAGCCGGAAAACTATCCCAGAGACATCTAAGGAACTAATATGATAACAAATTTATTCTCTCCCTCTCTTGTATGCTTTATTTTCCAGCATTTTCAATACTTCTTACCTGGGCTGGCTGTTCACCTTTTCATATTTTCCACTGAAATTCAAATTACAGAAGTTTCCTGATTTTGTATGTGAAGAATCTGATTCCAAATTTGTCTGTGTTTGTTCTCTCAGCCGATCCTGAAGTGCTGCTTCCCTTTTCAAGTTCATGTCTGAATATGGGCAGCCAAAAGCACTGGTTTATGTAAAAATGAAAGCACAGTTGTTAGTTTATACTGATAAATCAGTGATTCATTGTCATTGGAATAGGCACACATTTAATATTTTTAAATGGGACACATTCTTCTTTCATGTGTATATTCTAACAGTTTCCTCTCATATTGCCTCTGAAAGTCTCAGGTTCTAGACCACAGCAAAGTATTATTGGCAGATTTATCAGCACATATGGCATTTGTAATTTTGGAAAGCTGCAAACCTACAAAGAGCATACAGATGTGCTTTCAATGCAGCTGTGGCAATGCCATATGCCACTTGACTCAGTTTGTGCTCTCCAGAATTTATGTTCCTGTTAACTTCTTGCATCACCAAATGCCGGGGTAACTAAGAACGACTACCACTACCAGAGAACATCAGGCGTTCAGTGCTTAACAGTCATGTGACCAGGAGTATTATAGCTGCATTTCTGTATTTAATAATACTGGGGAGTACTGACATTGAGGTTTACAGAGCACATTATACGTGACAGAGACGACCCCAACCCTGGTTGCCTAGGTATATTCTTCTTGCCCCTTACCATTGTCACGGTGAATCTTTTTTAAAAAAACATTTTATTTATTATTTTTATTTTATGTGTATGAGTGTATTGCCTGCATGTATATGTGTGCACCTGTGTCATGCAATGCACTGGAGGTCAGAAGATTCCCCTGGAGGGCTTTGGATTCCCCTGGAATTAGAGCTAAGGACGGTTTGTAGCCGCCACATGGGTGCTGGGAATTGAACTCAGGTCCTCTGCAAAAGCAGTCAATGCTCTTAACCGCTGAGCCATCTCTCCAGTCCCTGTCAAGGTGAATCTTAAACCAGGGATGTTGTTGTTAGACTGAGTAGTCTGCCAGGACACAGGATATAGCTCCTTCCACAGGCTGATCAGTCTGTTATATTTCTGTGTTTATGCTCCTTTTTCCAAAAAGATCTCAAATCTTTGCTGGGTATAAAGTAGCTACTACCAGGGAAAGTGCAGATGTGATGGGTACCAGGCTACTCCTCTGGAAAGCTTCTTCCTACCTCCGTCTCAGAGATTTCCCCAGTGGAGTGGGAAAAACAGTCAACTCAGAAGAGTTTCTAAGATTGAAATCTCAATCTCTCTCTCTCTCTCTCTCTCTCTCTCTCTCTCTCTCTCTCTCTCTCGGACAGATGTGCATATAGTTTCATACTAAAATTCACTAGATGATGACTACTGTCATCATCACAGTGTTACAACAGGCTACATCTAGTGGACTCCATGGTCAAATGCCACTGCATGGAAACAGTTGCTTTCTATTTTTTTTTTTTTTTAAGGAGTTCACTGTACGTTTGTTGATATGATAAAATCAGAGACCAGGCAAAGTTCCTTCTATTTTAGGTATATTGAGTTTTCCAGACAGGGCATGAAAGCAAGGGCTTCAGAAGGATGTTTGTGTCAAATTCTATCTGGAGTGGATTTCTGGAACTGAGGATGGATTGATTAGGATATCATCTTGGCCCAATGTTACAAGGTGGAGCTGTGCCAACATAATGGCTGACCAGAACCCTCTGCTATAAGCAGAAAGACCCCTTTATATGCACATTCTTATATGACAATAATTAATATTGATCTATTGGTTCATTCATATTTCAGTTATTGATTTAAAAATCTACTAATGAGCACTTGTTAAGGGCTGGGCACTTTAGAGAACATAAATCTAGTGAAGAAGTTATGATACTTATACTGATAAATGCAGTTCATTTTACTGAGTGTATGCTATAGGCCCATCACAATGCCAGGGTTTCACGTATATTATTTCTAATATTCATCACTACATACTGAAGTACAGTATTAAGGTATTTACGGGTAAAGAAACAGGTTGACAAAATATAGAAAATTTTCCTATTCTTGGCACTTTCTTAAGAAGTCTTAACTACTAAATTATTAGTCCCACAGTGCTGGGCAGAGGCATAACATGTCTAAAGGGCAGGTGAAGGAACCATGGATCAATTCTAGCGCAAAGGAGACTGAGAACGCTAAAGCAGTGTTGCGTCTGCCATGATTCAAAGGCTGCGAAGAACATGGTGACTGTCCTGAGACCAAGTGCCATTTGCAGTAGTACAGAGCAGGGGCAGTCCTTAGACTGCACCATGGGAGATTTCAGAGAGCGTGTTCTATAGAAGAAAGTTGAACGACATTGCACTAAAGTAAGAGAGACCGAGAATATTTTTTCTTTGCACAACGATTACTCAGAATCTTTGCTGTCCATCACACAGTCTCATAATGAGATTTTTAATGTACACCAAGGCCTTGTATTTTATTTTTCTTTGATTTATTTTTAATTTTATGTATATGAGTGTATTACCTGCATGTAGGTGAGCATACCTGTGTCCTACAATGTTCACAGAGGTCAGAAGAGGGCAGAGGATCCCCTGGAACTGGAGTTAGGATGGTGGTTAGCCACAATGTGGGTGCTGGGATTTGAACCCACGTCTTCTGCAAGAGCAGCAAGTGCCCTTAACCACTAAGCCATCTCTTCAGCCCCCTCATGTGACTCTTGAGGCCTGGCATTGACACTGTCTTTCTAAGGCTCATCTGTCCAGCATTGGGAGACAGGTATTGTAGACCTTGGTTCAGTACTTGGCCTTATTGAGAGAAATTGTGTTCTTCTTGATCTTCCTTCATAAATCAGTGCATCGATTAATTTAATCATTTGCCTATGTCCTGATGACATGCTTGCCCTCTTTGTCTCCCTGGCAGTAAGAATGTGAAACCAAATGGAACCCCTAAAGCATCACTAGAATGAAATAGTTCCCCATTCTGCGAGGCAGGGCATGTAGAAGATGTGGCTCCTGATTATACAGACTGTGAAGTTCAAAAGAATATATTAAATAACAAAAAAACATACTTTACAGAAGAAGAGCCTGCTGAAGAACTTAATAGAAGACAGTGATGAGAGATGAAAGACAGTACAAAAGAAGTGGGTGAAAAGGGTTTTCAGATATAATTGCACCATTTTGAGCCTCAGAAACTACGTTCTGAGACTGCTGTGAGCAAGGGTCTGTATTGCCACACTGTGAGAGCTTGCATTTTCTGAAGAGAAATAGTTAATGGAAAGAAGATGACACGCTGACAGTAGCCTGTCTTCTCAAAAATCAAACCCTTATTTGTGCATGCAAGTGTGTGTTTAAGAGCATTTATGATTCTATAACCTATTCACATAGACATGGAGATTTAAGTAGCAATCATAAGCATGATAAAACCATACTAAACTTACTTTTGCATCTTTAGATTTAGCTAAATATTGGGGAAGTACAGTTCTAAAAGAGATAATCTGTTGAAAATCTTTGACTTATGTTGAAATTTCTTTGAGAAGCAGCACACTCAGATCCCAGGTCACTGTGGATAGAAATACAGCAACTGACAGGCAGGCTGAGGGGACAGGTAGGCTGCGCTGCATCTGTTGGACTGTTGGCTCCTTGATGGAGCCGACTGTTTCCTGTTCCTTCTTAATTCACAGAGGAGCTACTGTTTGCAAGAAAAGGAAGAGACAGAGTGATCAGGTTGGCCCACAAGAAACCAGTTTTAAACAGCAGAATACTTAAGAGTTTCATACGGTTCATCCAAATACCTTACAAAAAACTGTTAGTGCTGCACACTTAAAACAGTCAAGCAAAAAGTGTCCTTTATGTTCCTCTGACCAAATTATTATAGGCCTCAAAGTATGTCTGTTAAACACCCAAGAAGGTCAGTTCCACCAGTCTGGTATTTTTAATTACTGTGTGTCATGTAGATAAATCTTGGGCAAAGACCAGTTGTTCTCAGATAAACCTTACCTAGACATATATTTCTTGATCTGCTATGTATAATTTGTCAGTAGGGTGTAGGAGTAAAATGATTCCTTCTGGTTTTCAAAACTAGGGCACTTTTTGCTCCTAGCCCTCCTAGGTTGACTAGTTCCAGGGGACTATGAGCATCTCTCAAAATGTCCTATAATGGTGGTGAGTCACCTGTCCTCTTGATCAAGGAGGCCGAGGAGACCCCACTAGAAGGACTTGAACCAGTGTCTAGTCTATAAAAAGGAGGGCAACACAGAGGAATCATTTCCTCCATGCTTCCAAGTGAAGCCAACCATGGTTGAGCAGGAACTTTGACCTATCTTCATATAGGCAGAACTGGTAAAAGAAAGGAGCCAGGGGCTCCTCCCAAGCCCATGTGACCCCTGAGGAACAGATCCTCAAATGACCTTAAAAATGAAAATAAATCAGTTTATCTGGTCCAACTTTATGGTCTTAAACACCCAAAAGGAAAGTATAACTAAAGATTAAAGGGGCCAATATAATTCCATAAGAATTCATATGTATAGCTAAAGGCTACATCACAAGCAACAATGCCAGACAGGCAATGCCTTCTTTTGAATTGTTGGCCAGGGTGGCCAAAGGGATTCCCAGATAGTAACCCAGCATAGAACTGGGGAATTGAACAGCAGACCCCAGTCTTATCCAAAGGAATATTGACAACTGATTACCACTAGATGAGGAACAGCTGACACTCCTAAAACAAAGACCTCTAGAGACAGGCTGACTAGATTCACCAGAAGGACAAGTAGTGGTGAATGGCTGGGGGTGCCAACAACACAGCAGA